CCATGATATTTGGCCGATTGATTGTCTGTTTCCGGGTGGTAAGCATAGATCCAAGACTCATCGACAGTAATAATATTTTTCTTGACATAATGGCAATCAGAATGCATTGCTTCAAGGACGTAAACGCTGTTTTTCAAAAAAAAAAAAAAAAAACTGAGTAATTTTGAAACCAATCTTGTTTTCTTTTTCTTAGGCCCAAATGGTCTCTCACAATGGTTTTCACTAATCCTACCGATATTCCAACGATGCTAATAAGATCTCTGACTGTTCATCGTAGACTCTCGAGCACCAATTCCTTTATTTTTGTGACGCGTTGGTCATCAGTAGATCTTGATGGCTCCTTGAATAATTTGTAACAATCAAAAAGCCTTGCTCGCCACAAACAATTATCACAGAAGGTCTTTTTCAACATTTTGAACCTTTCGGCAATAGAAATTTGATTGCGCACACAAAATTTAATGGAACTTCTTTCTTCAATAATTTCACTTACCGAATTCACTTTCTGCTTTTTCACAAAATAAACATGCATTTAGATTGCTCGTAATGGATCCATTTTCCGTCACCAGTCACAATCCAATTCAAACCTGACTTCGATTTGTTCAAGCAACATTTCTGACATGCAAGATCGTCTTTCAAAGTCTCTTGACTTCTATTGGCAGCCAATTTTCTGGGTCTTGATCGCATCTCAAATGCTTTGTCTTGCTTCTGTTCACGCACATTTGCATATTCAAGACTTTTCTTAAAGAACAAAATTTTTCGGAACACCTGTATTTTTTCCATACAGAGATCCAAATACCATTTTATGACTCTCCAATTATACATTTTAACATGTGTGGTAAATAAAGAAGTATTTTGGCACTTACTAAAATGCAATTCATGCACTTGCATGTGAAAAAGGAAATTAATAAATTTTTGGTACGTCTATTATATGCATTCTTATCTGCAAAAAATTGTTCTTAAAATACGGACAAAAAACGAATATTTTTTTATTTGTACACAAACATTAACTATATAATATTATAAGTGTAATTTTTATTTTATTTTATTTTTTTTCAAAAATCTACCAATTTTTATAAATAAACAAGCAAAAATATTGACTTCGGTTTCACTAAAGCTAGAATACCCTTCTAAATATTATATAAACGTTTTCATACTAACAATTGATTTTAAGAATGCAGTTTGTATGGCAACTACATGCTATAGTCAGCGGTTCCCCCCCAAAAAAAAAAAAAAAACAAGAAAAAAAATTCAAATCGGTATCTCAACTATATGTTATAATAGTCTGATGTGGAAGAAATATGGTCGCCTGGATGCATTAAAATACAGACGAGGAAGCTCGAGAGCTGTCAGAACACTGCAATCCGAACTACGAAAGGATGCCTCTTGATGTCTCCTATCAAACACCTGCATAGTGAGCCCCATATGCTCTCAGTTAAGGATCATTATGAACTCCTATTCGAGCAGTTCCTACTGGGGTGATTTCGCAGAAATCAATGCAGATTCACCTGCTTGGATCGAAACCGCCTCCTAGGAGCATTAAGAGGTCATTCCTCAACTACATCGCCGACATCAAAAAATACGCTGACCAGAATTCGAACGCAACAACAAGAACTTCACATTCACAGTGGAGCCATTAACGCCTTCAACGACTCCTTCCCATTGCAGACGAGTGACCCTTGCGCAGCTTCGTTCTGGATACATGTTAAACTACTACTTATCCAGAATAGACCCTCTTTGTATGCTCCACTAAACCTACTCATACGAACGCCAAACCCTTTGAGGGTTTTACTATACTGACCTAGTACCATCACCCTGACTTGGAATTTCTCACCCCCCAGACAATAATCGAAAAAATGTTCCATAGTGTAAGTTTAACGAATTTGTCTTTCATAAATTTGCTCACAATCGAACAGAAAAAGAAACAAGTGCATTATTTACTCATTCATTCATAATTTTTTTCACGAAATGTAAATTTATAGAGTATTTTTTTATCTAAAGAGAAGAAGAAGAGCGAAATTTATGAATGGCTAAAAGGCAGGAAGATCAGCAGAGCAGTGCAGTCACAAGGCGGTAGTGTGGAAAATAAATTATTTTAATTAAAATATATGAATGCTGATTAGTGTGCAATTAATCATTGAAATCGAAAGTGAATGTAAAAAACACATATTTACATACTTCTACATATGTAAATAAATAGTAAGTGTTGAGATAGCGCGAGAGGTGCTTTACCTTCGTGTTATCGCTTAGTCAGTCGCATTAAGTCGATAATATACGACCACGTTGTTGTGTCAATCAATTGTCAGAACCGGTGCTGATAGGGAAGCATGTCATTAGGATATTTCTTGGTACATAACTGTGTGATAATTGTCATATTCAAGTTATTTATGAATATTGTGGGTAGTAAACGTGTACCGTTAATGTAGAACTTGTCTGGTTGTTTAGATAGTTCAGAAATTATAGAAACAAATGCATTTTATCTAAATGACTACCTTGGAAAGTCGATTTTTGATTTACAATCTGTTAGTGGTATATGGTTAGTGCAATAATTTTCACTTAAGTGTAGTACGTAGAATATACCTTGGTGAATTCGTGAGACAAAGTTGAAGCAATTTAATTTGTACGGATATAATGGATCTACGCTTTTACTTTCGATTTCCAGTATATGAGGTCTTAACAGACTTTCTTTTTTTCTTACAATAAAAGCTTTCTAATTTATCGAGTAATTTATCGGTTAGTATAACTATAAAATGCTAAGTATCGTATAAGAAATTAATGTGGAAAAGCTTTGGTTCAAAGCCTTTTCATTACTTTGAAGATTTTAATTAATGCTTGGGTTCTTACTTTTTTGTAACACTCTCTGGCTGGTCTTTTGAGGTTAGGTTTAGGTCTCCTTTTTATGCTTTGAGCTCGATAAATCTTATTAGAGCTTTAATGAATGTTAAATCTATACAAACATATATTTTGAAAGCCACTTCATTATTTCACAAAGCTAGGTAATGGCGGTCTTGACTTTTTCAAAACTTGGTAATGGTCTTAGATAGGTTTATTGTTGGCTAAGAAGGTATTTTTTCCTCCTCCTCCTCAGGTCTTAGAACACTAGCAACACAGGGCATGTTCCAAAGGTACTTAGGTGTAGCTTCGACTTTTAAACAAGAGAGAAGTTATTTACATTTTAGGAGTCATCATAAGCCACCTACCTCTAAGATCCCACCTTCAAAAAATTAGTGAAGTGGATTCGGCTGAGTGTATCTGCTTTGACGAAGAAGAGACGCTGGGACCTTAGTCTTGCGAATGCTATCTTTTCATGACCTCTAATGAACCAACTTTAGATATAGTGTGGAGATGGGATGGAAAAGTTAACAGGTATTTGCTGGATAAGGCTTAACTAGTTAACACTCGGGAAAACAAAGAGCATAATGATGGCCGTCTACTTTCTGGCGCCTCCATTTTTAACCAATTAACAAAAATAGAAGTCAGCTAAAATCACAGCCTTGTTACTGCAGCATCTCGGAGAAAGTCTTCTCATAATTGTCTGACAGCACGAAGAATCATTTATAATAACTAAATATGCTCGGTAGCTTGTCATTGTCTGACAAAGTTATGTCCTTATTGTGCAACCTTCCAGCTGAAAATGACAGTCGCTAAATAATTTTAGAGCTCACACCACTTCACCTAGTAATCGGTCAGGTAGCCAAAAACACACTGCTCCAAATGACAGCAAAAGGGTGTGACAGAGGTAAGGTAGTCTCATCCCCGAGCATGAAATAATTAAGTGGCTTAATATTATTGGCTCTTCTCTGAAGTGACAGCATTACCAAAAGGTTGAACTTCACCAAGATGTTCAAGTTTACGCTTAGCAGCAAAGGTGAATGGGATGAATTCACTCTCTCCAAGCCACTGCTTAGGGATAGTGCAATCAAGTGGTACTCGAAAACGTCGGAGGGAATTAGTGCAGAATGGGAAGTTTTCGCAGCATTTTTTCAAGCAGAAGTCGGTGCGTAGAGATAAACCTCCAACGGAACTATCACAGCGGATGCATAGTCATACTCAGTGACAGTCAAGCGGCACTTGAAGTAATATCCGTCTATGAGATAAAATCGCTACTGGTGCAGGAGTGTAGGGAACGGTTGAGTAGTCTAGCGGAACGTTACCAAGTGCATCTCATCTGACCTGGTCACAAAGATATAGCCAGGTAGGACCTGAACGCTTCATCTTGGTGGGTAATCATATCATAAAGGAGCTGCTCCGGAGAGGTATTGGAAAAAAATCCAAGGCATGCGCAATGCGTGGGGGGTTATAACTTCAGCAGGCTTAAATACTATGTAATCAATCTCCCAAAGGAAAAACTCAGGCTACTTGTCGCATTCTATACTGACCACTGCAAGCTGAAAAAGCACTTATATAAAATTCCGGTTCTGCGACAGGGAGCCTGAAGCTCCAGAATACCAGCATATTGACTGCATAGCAGTCTGCAGATGAAAGATAAAGGCCCCGAGATCAAGATTTCCATACAGGCCTCACTAGTATCTAGCAGTACATTGGATATGCTGGGCGAGGTGAGTCTTTATGATTTAGGAGAGGTAAACGGTGCAATCTTCATCTATCTGGTTTTCTCCCTATCTATCTAAGTATATTAAGCTAAACTGAACAAGTGATCAGAGTACCGTTGCTAGGTGGACAGTTTAAAAACGAAATGGTAATCTTTCCCAATTCAGACCGAATTTAAATACTTGACGATTCTCTGTTTACAACAAAGTGAACCTGTAGCAAGTACTCGTTTCGTATTCTATAAAAAATTAAACCTTTGGATCCTATGTATATATTATTTGAACTGGTTTATCAACTAATTAAATATCATTAAGAATTCTTTTGAGAATACTCATCAGCTGCAATTATTTATATACCAAACTAATAATTACAGTATTAATACTCATTTCTTGGAAAATTACTCAAGCACGAATGCGATTAAACTCAAACAATATTCTTCTTTCTTACTGCAGTGGACTTAACTTTTTTTAACCGTTACACACTCAAAGCGCTGTCAAAGTAAACTAGTGAAATTCCAGACAAGTGTAAAAGACCGCAATAACAAGATAAACACGTGAGCACAAGAATTCCTCAATTCCAACAGCGCAATTGAAACAAGAATAAGATTGTTGAAGGCAGAAATTATAGAAAAAAATAATAATTCACAATTCTAAGTGAAATAAGATAAGATTACAAGAAATAAGTGTAGTAACTCGACATACAGTATTATAGAAAAGTAACAAAACATGGGCGTAACACTGGAGGTGCGAAATGGCAAGAACGCCAAGGCGAACGCAGCGGATCTTGAGGGTAGTGGCGGCATGCAGACAAACCGCACAAGGTACTTATAAGCAATATTGTATTACAGAGATATTTTTGTACCTTCTAGCAACCGTTATTTAATTTGAGACCACTCACCATTCCATATAACATTTTATTGCAGTAAAATGGAGACTGCGACACATCTTTTCAAAGGTAGCGTCGGCGCTGGCCTCTTCGCTATGGGTGATGCCTTCAAGAATGGCGGTCTGGTCGGTGCTACTGTGCTGTTGCCCATTCTGGCGGTTATTTGCGTGCACTGTGAGCGTCTGCTGATTGACAGTTCGATCATGGTCGTGGGTAAGACACCCGGTGTGGACTTCTTCGATTATCCGGATACGGTGGAAAAGGTCTTTGAATATGGGCCACCGCCTGTGCGAAAATTGTCCAAATTAATGCGTACAATTGTGGAGACTTTTCTGTGTGTAACACAATTCGGCTTCTGTTCGATATATTTCGTTTTCATTACGGAGAATCTGCATCAGGTGAGTAAGTGTTCTTATGTAGGGCGAAAGGGTTAGTGCTTGAAAGTGAGCCATAGGTTTTAGCTGAGATCGCGTCCAAACTTTTAAGTTTCCATTTGTTGTTGTAGCGGCAGAGTTTATGCCAAGTTGACAGTCCATGGCCGGTTAAAATCCGGGTCCATTCCAGTTACGTAGACCCGACTGTCGAGCGAACGGTTTCTACATATTTGCTTTTCAACTATTGTGTCTGCCTTATAAAAACTATTGGTGATTTTTCAAACACTATAAGGCACAGTGGTACATGTTTCTAACTTAAAACCATTCAAACACTCTTTTAATAGTCTCCGAAAAATCTGTTTTGATAACAATTTGAATATAAATTAGACTACTTTTCGATTCAGTAGACCTCCTGAGAATGGCATGACCCTTCGAATGTCGATAAGTTCTTCGAGTTTCTTTTAAGAAAAGTTTATACAGAAGGTTTTGCCAGTTTTTTCCATCATAAGATTAAATAAAATAACTTAAAGTATAAACTTTTTTTGTAACAACAAATTTCTCTACACTCGCACCCCCATAGGTACTGCAACAAAACGGCATCGAAATTAGTCAAACCACCACAATGGCAATCACATTGCTGCCGGCCATGTTGCCTTCGTTACTCACCAATTTGAAATACATCTCACCCGTTTCGATGTTGGCCAACTTGTCGCTACTCTTCGGTCTTCTAGCCACGCTGGTAATCGCGTTGCAAGGCCCCATGCCGGCCATAAGCGAGCGTCACTACATCACCAACGGTACACAGATGGCATTGTTCTTTGGCACAGCGCTTTTCGCCTTCGAAGGCATTGCGCTTATACTACCGTTACGCAATAAAATGCGTAATCCTGAAAACTTTACGAGTACTTTTGGTGTTTTAAATGTGACCATGGGAATGGTAACGACAATTTTCATATTCACCGGTTTCATTGGTTACATGCGTTGGGGTGAGGATGTTGATGGCAGCATAACGTTGAATTTGAATGCAGAAGAAGTGTAAGTAGAGAGAGAGAGAGAGAGAAAGAGTGGTGGTGGTGGACAGGGGTTTACTCTAAAGTCGTATTAATTTATGTTCTTCGTTTCGTTTTTTGTCATTTCAGCATGTCACAGGTTGTCAAAATCGTCGCTGCGCTGGGCGTTTTCTTCGGTTATCCCATACAATTCTTCATCCTGATTAAGATCATCTGGAAACCGATGAAGGAATCATGCGGTGTAGCCCAAAGCTATCCTATTACTGTACAAGTTGTGTTCCGTTTCATCATGGTGATGTGTACATGTAAGTATTGAGCTTTTAAAGAACAGAAAATTTGATATACTGGCTCATAGAAAAATATGGCGGTTTTGTCACATAAGCCTTTGAAAAGTTATGTAGAGGAGAGTAGATTTATAAAGTTTTTTTTTATAGTTTTTAAAGTAATAAGAAATGCCTGTTGTTGTATTGAAAAATAAAACTCGAATACTTCTTCTGAGAAAAATTTCCCTGAATGTATATAAATCCGTATCTATATCGGTTACTTTGGCTCAGCTATCATAAGATAGAAGCTTTATAGAGGATAGTCGGAAACCAACACATTCCCAAATTGACATTGAGAAAACGGCCCTAAATCACAAAAGTTTGATGTTTTAAATAGACTTCATAATCATAATTCATGACAGCTGTCAATAATCATAATTTAAGACAGCTGTCAATAATCAACTGTTATCTACTATAAGTTTAGTTCCTGACTCCGTATACTAAAGCATCTCAATATAATGGAAAACTACCACAATTTTTCCAAAAAAA